TATTATTATTATTATTATTATTATTATTATTATTATTATTATTATTACTATTATTGCCACAATTTGGTTTCTTTTTTCCTACTATTTTTATTTGTAAACCAACCGGCACACTGTATGTATATATATATATGGAAGATGGCTTGGTGTTTTTATGTTTTGTTTGTCTATGTTCGTCTTAAAAACCAATAAAAATTTATTTTAAAAAAAGGAGGAGGAAGAGCAGGAGGAGGAGGAGGAGGAGGAGAGGAGGAAGAAGAAGAGGAAGAAGAAGAGGAAGAAGAAGAGGAAGAAGAAGGGACTAGAACTCACCATCTCCTGGGGATTGGCTCAAAGTCACTCAGCCAAACTTTCACACCTAAATCGCAACTAGAACTCACCATCCCCCAGTTTCTAGCCTGGTGCCCAAACCGCTTATTATCTCTTATTACAAGAACCAGGGTGGGATTTTTAAGATTACTACGTTATCCAACCCGTGTCATGAACACTAAGACAGGAAAGAAACAGGGTGGGGTTGGTTTTTTTTAAAGGGAAAAGAGAAGAAAAGGAAACCTGACGAAGCCACAGCGCGACTTTTTACCTCATGTTCCAGGAAAAGGGCCTTCAGTTGTCCCTTGGACCAGTAGTCCAAAGCGTAGGCCAGGAACTTCATGGAGATCGTGTTGATTCGCAAAAAGTTCCCCACAAAAACCACTTTATTGATGTTCTGGGAGGAGGGGGGGAAAAGGAGAGGAAAAAAAAAAATCCATGAGAAGCTGTTGCTAAGTGAAAAATAAATTAAGACGGCAGCTCTTCATTTTAGGTCAGGGGTCCCCAAACTTGGCCACTTTTAAGACTTGGGATCTTCAACTCCCAGAATTCACAGGTGGCTGAAGAAATCTGGGAGTTGAAAATCCAACAAGTCTTAATAAGGTGGCCAAGTTTTGGGGTACCTCTGATTTAGGTCCAAGAGGACAAGGAGCAACAACAGGACGGATGGGTTTGAGGATGATGGTGACAGGTGGGCAGGTGGGGGACCTGGAGCACCTGCAGGAGGTCAGATCCAACCGGGGGGGGGGGGGGAAATCCGCCCAGGTGGTTATTAACAGCCGAGGCGGGTTTGATGGCACACAATCGACCAGGAAAGTTGCTATGTCTTTTCAGAACCACAGAAGAGTTGAGAGGGGTCCCCCCAGAGGTCTTCAAGTCCAGCCTCCTGCTCAGATAGGCTTGGATATCCCAAGTTATAGCCCAGAGGCTCGCTGACCCCGGGACGCTGCCGAAGAGGTGCTTGGGGTCTTTCATAGCCCTGTACAATGCTGCTTGACCTGGTCACAACAAGGCAGCACTGTAAAGAAGCTGGAAGCACCCAGCTTCATCCCCACGGTGGAAAACAGGCGCGGGGACTTCCAGCTGCTCAGCGTGTTGTCCCGCTCTCCCTCTCTCTCACACACACACACGCAGATCCCCCTTCACCCACACCCCAGCACTGTCCCTGGGATGATCCAAAGGGGCCTGGCACAAAGGCAACATAGTCAGATAAGCAAGAAGAGTCCCTTTATTATCTCCAACTTTGCCCCCAGTGTCCTGGTAACCTTCTGGGCTGGAGAAAAAACTCTCCCAGGAACAGCCTTTAAGTGAAGGAAATTCAGTCCCCAAACATACAAACTGTAACTAAAAATCCACACAACTTCCTTCTAGCCCTGATG